GCCGAGCTGGAGCCTGTATGGGCAGAGCTCAATCGCCGCGAAGCTGTTGTCTTCATCCATCCCACTAATCCCGTCGATACGGATCTAGTTAATCCTCGGATGCTGCAGCCTATGATCGACTTTCCACATGAGACGACTCGTACCGCCGTGGACATGATCATGAGTCGAACTCTGCAGAAATATCCCAACGTCAAGGTAATCCTGAGTAATGCCGGCGGAACACTACCATACCTCATAACAAGGCTTGCGACACCTCTACGAAAGACTCCCGATCTTGCTGCAAGATGGAAGACAGGAACAACTTATGAAGAGACTATGAGCTCCTTTCGCAAGTTCTACTTTGATGTTGCGCAATCATCTGCGCCGCAAGTACTGTCAACTCTGTTGACTATGGTTCCGCACGACCACATCTTATTCGGGGTTTGTGTCAAGATGTGCTTAAGTGAGGCATTAGTGCTAACGTGGCTGACAGAGCGACTTCCCATTTGCGCCGGCGACGGCTTACCCGGCATTCCTGGAAGAGCTAGAAAATGCCGATATCGAGAGCGATATTCGCGAGAAAATCAACTTTGGTAATGCACAGGGGCTAATACCTCGTCTAGCGAAGGGGATATGTGTATTGTAAGAGTGTCTTGGACCACTCGAAGTTGTTCGGCTGGCACGAGCATGTAATTATCAGCACTAGATAGGGCTGCATAGTGGGGTACGCTTTTGGGTCGGACACTAAATACTTGGAGTTGTAATGAAGAAGATATGTTCTTGCTGCCTCTACCTTTATGCCGTGTCTCATAAGTTGTCTCTGGCTCGAGATAGCATTATATCCAGAGGTAAATCCTTTCGGTTCAAGCTCGCTGGAATATAATTATCTTTAACTCCTTAGCCTTTCTTGTCCTGTTCACTGGCATGGCAGGTGGACATTAGCGCGGAGCTAACGACTAGTGTTGGCAGACTACAGCCCTACGGTGTATGTGGGTATCGAGTGCACAGACTTCAATCCGTCAAACTCGTAGTGTATTGGCTCGCGCATGCAATGGATGTGTGTAGATAGCTGGTTTATAGCTAGATTGATGTTTAAGACGCTGAGATCAAGCGCTAAAGACACTCTATTGTTCTACAAAAACCGTTACGGGATAGCTAATTAAAGCAAAACAGCTGGCTAGGCAGGGCGTAGGTGTTTGAGTCCTGAATCACGGGCTTTTCTATGACCCTAAAGGCGCCGCATCTGTCATTGTTTATTGCTTTGCCTGACCAAGACATGGTCGTCATGCTTAGACTAATTGCTTGGGAAAGCTATAACTGAAGTACATGAAGAAGGTCGACAAGAATGAGTCTAGGCTAATACTGCAGTGGGTCTCTTCCCAGGTAACCTTTGAACCCCTGAGATTTCTGGTCTAGTAGCGAAAGTCCCGAGAACCGTTTTCGGCATTCAAAATAAGCCCGGCCCCCGTACCTCTTAATAGGTGCCCTCAGTACGTCAGAGCATAGCGCCATACCTAACTGATTTCTAACGGGAATAGTTTCCGATTGCCGACAGTCTAGAAGCTTCAGAACACCACTCTGCAATTGCTTTTATATGCTGCCCAACCGAGTCGCTTCCATTCCCACTATCTCCGCAGCCCTTTCTATCCCAATCCAACAGAGAGAAAGCTTTCTATTCACTACGAAGTGACTTAGCAAACTGCACGAATATCGCATCACCTAATAAGTGCCTAAGCAATGACATCAATCGCCGCTGTTATCGGGTCGACGGGCCTCGTGGGCCACCAGATCCTCGCGACGCTACTCAACCTCGACGCGTGCAAGACTGTATACACTATCTCGCGCCGCGCACCCAAAACCGAGTCGTCCCCGAAGCTCAACGCAACTATCGAAGCCGACACCACCAAATGGGCATCCCAGCTTGCAGCGCTCTCTCCCCTTCCGACTACGGTCTACTCCTCGTTAGGTACCACACGCGCTCAGGCCGGCGGCATTGCGAACCAGTGGAAGATTGACCATGATCGTATGTATTCAATAATGGGACCAAAGCTTGTGCATCCCACTAATCCTCTGTGCTTGCAGTGAACGTCGAGCTCGCGAAAGCAGCCCACGCCGCCGGCGTCCAAACCTTCGTATTCGTATCGTCTGCTGGCATACGAGGGTTCTTGACCAAACAAATGCCTTACCCGAAGATGAAGATCGGCGTGGAAGATACTATACAGGCGCTTGACTTCCCCCAGGCCATTATCCTGCGCCCAGGGTTTCTCATGGGCCAGCGTGAAGTTTCGCATACCGGCGGCCCCTTCATGGAGACTGTCTTCCGGGGCTTTGGCTCGTACCTAGGCCAAGGCGCCCAGGACAGGTTTGCGCAAGAGGACCAGGTTGTGGCGCGCGCCGCTGTCAAGGCCTCGATGCTGGCCGCTGAGGGCAAGGCCCCGAGCAAATATTGGGTTCTGGAACAGAAGGATATCGTTAGGCTAGGCCGAGACGAGTGGAAGGCTTAGCTTACTGCCATGCAGCGTTTGATTTGTTGCTCTTTGGCGTATTAGGTGTTGTGGCGCTTGGACGGCATATGTCAAATGGGGCAGACTGCGGATTATACCCAAAACACCTTTAACGATCTTAGCAAATTGACTGGCAGGTCGTGTTTTGCGCAACGTTGGAATGAGAGCATGAATTCATTTAAAATGACTGATCTGAATTTTCGTTCCTCGAAGTCTCTTAATTAGGATGCTAATGATGCTTCGCCCGTCCAAGGTGAGTACTAGCCTGGTAGCGTCAAATCACTATTAAAAGTCATATATTCGAAGGATATGGAGTTCAGTCATATTGTGACCGTAAGCAGCGCCAAAGAGATTGTCTCAAACTCGGGTTTAAAACTAAGTACTCTAGGTCTATGATTACGCTCTTAAGTCTAATTGCGGAGCGGCGAGCCCACTTCTTGGTCTATTAACCTTTGCTGCGCAACAAGCCAATCTCTCCAGCCCTGGTCCCTCAATATCGAACGGACGCGCGCCTCAAGCCATTCGGTATTTCCCCAGAACCCCCACGAGGCTTGGAATCGCAGCCAATCAACGAGCGCAGTCTCCCAATGCCGGACGAAGGTGTCCCAGTCATACTCTTTACCAGTGCCGGCAAGTAAAGTCTCACGATACATTGCCAATAGCTTTCTCTCACCCTCCGCCATGCCCAGCTCAGTTGAGCTGTTGTCATCTGTGAGCATGTTTAGAGGTATAGAGCACGTGAACAACTTCGCAAGATCGCACACGCCCAGCCCGAGACCCACGTACTGAAAGTCGTAGAACGCTACTTCAGAGCCCGACTGCGTCGTGAAGAGATTCTCAGACTTCACATCTCCGTGGATGAGCGTTTCGTGCTCACGGCCATGCGGTGTCAGGACGCTAGCTGCCATCTCGGCAATGGAGTACCCATGGAGCGAAAGGGGTTCGCAGAGTGCTGACGACCATTCTGAATTGGAGTCTGCAGCCAGCGAGGCATATTCCGTCTGCCTCGTTGCTAGATACGTATAGCCCCCATTTAACCACACCAAGCGCCCAGGCGCGTCAGCTTGCTGCCTTCTCTCGGCTTCCTGAAGAGGCGGTAGTAGTAATTCCTGCAGTGGTATAGGTAGTATCTCCCATGATCTTCTATGGAATGTAGATAACCAATTTAGTGCAGCATGAACTTGTTTTTTACTGAGGATGGCCCTCTTCTCTCCAGCAACAGGGTATTTGGGCCGCAGGTCCGTCATAATGATCGCGGTGAGGCCCTCCGGAGTATCAGATCCAGGCTTCCCCTGTGTAGCCGCGATGCAGCGCGCCATAGGCAAGTCTCTCCCAAGGCGTGGCGCGATCGAGCCGTAGAAGTTCTGCTCAACCTCATAGCTCAGCATCTTGCGCAGATGACCCTCGTCTTCCGATCCGGGCCGTGTGGGAGGCGGCGAGATGAGCTTGAGGATGAGCGCAAACACCTCGTCTCCATTTTTACTAGGAACGCTAGTATCACCATACAGCTCGCGCATTCGTGCGGCTGCCGCGGCGCTTGAGGCCCGCGCTGTGACTTGGCAGATATGCCCGTATCCTGCCCAGAGCGTTTGTATCTTTTTAAGGGACACAAGCTCTAAAGAATGCCACGATAGCATGATCGCAGCCACGCGTTCTGCCTCGATTGAAGGGGCCATGGTGGGCCGCCCCAAATCTGTCTGTACTATTTTTGGAGACTTGTGTCGCGGCTCCCTAATCGCCCAGAGAAGTAACAAAATAGAGACAATGATAAGAGAGCACGAGCTCCAGCTTCTGAGAGAGATATAACGGAGCATGCGGCTTGGAACGAAGTTAATTGTGACTGAAAAGGTAGGAACAGCTGATCGTGATATTGCACTGGTACCGAGGAGCTAGTTGGCGGGTGTGCAAAGGAAGGTCGGTAGTTAACGGCTGTTTGCAGCTGTCGTCAGGGTTCCTTTTAATCGTTTTTTGTCTCCTTGGCGTTTAAGAAAAGATTTTTTGTTGTTAATTGGATGTTATTGTATCATTAATTCGCCTCTTTGATCTTACGAAAGCCGTTTTATTGAATTTCTACCTAAATTCTAGCAGTCACAAATTTGATTGATTGGTATTGTTTTATCGTCAGGAGGGTGTACTGCATAGCAGACTCCCGAGCCTCCCATAGGACATAAGCCGTGGTCAGGCTACTTGTCTATGTATCTACTAATCTACAACTCTAAGGGCTAGCTATATATGGCCCGCGGCCACTCCTTCTGGGTCCTCGTACCTCACTTCTATGATCCAGAAATCCGGTTTATATTTCGTAATTCCTATTTGTTGTAATTACTGTGTTATTATGTTATAAACGGCATATGCCGTTCCGTATGTTGACGTAAGGCTGGTGCGAGTATATGTCGGGGCGGTGCCATTAAATGCGGACGGAGGCTACTACTTACTAGCGGTCTGCGTGGTAAAAATACAAGAAAGAAAAGAAAAGCAAATGTTATGGCACATGATGTACAAAAATTAAAGATCGTATGGCGATAGAGGGAATCGAACCCTCGTCTGCGCGGCATTGCGAATTGGAGGCTGCAGAACTCCACAACGCGCCGTACTAACCACTATACTATATCACCTGGTGTTCACAATCGCCAAGTGGACACGAATGACTTATCTGGGGATCACGTCCATCTTCTTTGCTCGAAGCAATACTCCTTCAGCTAAGGGGAATCATTACAACTTAGAGACCATTCACTATTTAATGGCACTACTACTCACATACCAAATACTTGAGAGGTCTTAAAAGATGACTTGGTATCATAAATGACTAACAGGGAAAACGTTGCAAATATATGGAGTGATTTCAACGACACACACCAAAGTTTATAACTGATGAAGCGTTATGTACATCTATATAAGAAACTGAACTATCTCTCTGAGTTATAGTTCTTAAAAGAAAGTTATACGCCTTCATTATTGGGCCGACCAGTTCGCTGCTGCGGTGTTGACAGTAGTCAAACAAAGAGAACAGGGGGGGAAATAAATCAAGTCGAAAAGCGATAAATATGGAAGAACGAATATATTGGCCCCTCAGGCGATTAGTCGCCCCTTAGGGTGTCTTCGTTTTGTACATGGTCAGATTTTTGGTGTGGCTAGAATGAGGATGCCCTACACAGGCATGTTGTCCGGATACTGGCACAGGTCTATAATGTACCATTCTAATCAATGCTGATTAGCTAAAAATTCTTGAAAGAACTACACAATTTATATGTAAAATGTCAAGGAGAGTGGAATACAACTTACCGAAGGCGCTGGCCGCAATATTCTCAGCGCTATGGTAGGGTTCAACCGTTCCGTCGACATTTTTGTGATCGCGCCAGAGCGTCATCAGGTTTCTAGCCTGCTGGGGAGGGTTGTTCTGGGGTTCGAGATCATCGATATCTTGAGTTCCGTGATAGTCGAAATTTCCGTCATCATCACTACAGCGAAGGTCAGCGTTGGAGTCGTAAACTCCTGTGCTTTGGGGGCATGTTTCTTACTGGAAACTTGGATAGCCAGCACGCACTCCAACGATATCTAAATGGGTCATTTCGTGAAGCAGAGTGACGCCTCCCACCATGAAGTCCGAGAGCTTGTAAGGTGCCGGAGTGCACCACGAATTGTCAGTGCGTTTGGGATTCGGCTTGTAGACTTTGTCCGTCGTGCTCCTTTTAGTTAGATCGTCCGTGAAATATTTGGAGCAGATCTTCATTTCACGAGCCGTGTCCCCATCTTGCGGCTTAGCGTCCGTGATTGCAAAGCTCTCGGTCGTTCTAGAGTTAGATTTCGTTAATATTGCTTCTTTACCCGGATCACTAACACAAAACATGACATATCGAGAAAAAAACGCTTACCGGTCCTTGCATTCTGTGTCGTCTGCAGCGGCGCAAGTGACGGAGAACTTGTATCCAGTTCCCTGATGATTAGAGTCGTCAGGTGTGTTGTTCAGCTCTATGGCGCTCCACATGTTCTCGGCATGTTCTTTATCTTCGTCGCGAAGATAGTTTTTGTAGCTACATGGAACTTAGTTGATGATTAATGATCCAATGCAGAATAAGTACATACGCGTTTTTGTCTGTAGTCAAAGTGCCAACGGCATAATTGGCAATACTAGCAGCGTCGGCAAAGTCCTGCTCTAGCTTCTTCTGCTGGTCGGCACTGCAGCCGTTGTAGCTTTCAACTTGGCGACCCTTAAGTACTGTGGCGACTGAGCGTGCAGGCCACGCTGCGCTGAGCGGTAGAGCGCCCAGAGCCACAGCCCCGAGGAGAAGTATGTTGTTTGTAGAAGGCATGGTAGATAATAAAGACGAAGCGGTTGAAGAAGAGTATCGGCTGCAAATTATCAAGAAGAGTATTGTGATGTTAGATGGTGATGGAACAAGAGAAAAAGAGAATTCATAATGCCAGCCTAGCTCGCGGCTTATGTAGAAGTTATTGGCCGTACACACTTCGTTTCTCGTCGAAGGGCCCTCGGAATAGAATCTTCGCCTCAACGACGATACAGTCTTGGTCTCTTCTCTTCTTTAGCTTATGCCTAATCTTACAAGCTATTTGCGTTTTAGCCCTCAGTACTAGCAGTCATAATATCCAACAATAACTGAACTAAATTTAGTATAAGATGACACCATTGTAATGTAGGTCAATCCATTTTCTGGGACTGATGACTAGTAATTGTCTATAGACAGAACAAGGCTGAGTTTTTCCAGTTCTCGCCATCGATTCCTACTTCAATATGCCTTCTGTTCCTCCGAGCCAACTCGACATGCGAACATTCAATCTTGTGCTTGGATTGGCTTAGTAGATTGCCATAGACCCCAACTCAGGTGGTAATTCTGGGCTGCGGCTAAGTGGCTGAAACTGCTTATGGCAGATTGAAGGTCCTTGAACCTGGGAATTCTTTTTATGTCACGAGGCAAGGTCCCAAGGTTAGGCTGGTATGATGAAGACGGTACACCCAGGGATAGACTTCTATTATATTGCAATTTACTCATATAAGTCTCATAGGAAGTTAGCAGAGGGCGCAAATACCACAGAAGCTAATGTAACTGGGGAGCCAAGTGCAGAATGTGTGACCACTGACGTCAGCCACGATAAGCTTGCTTTTTCTTGGCCACTGCGGCGTATGTTATATTTAGGTGAACGTTAATGCAACCTAATCCTACTTTAAATTGAAGTGTTAAGAATCCCCCAAGTATTAGCAACACCTCTAGAGTGCTACAATCAGTAAGCCACCGTAACGACTATTCCTTAACATACCTGCGTGCGGAAGCGTCAAATCTAACAGGCACGTGTCTGCTAGTCTTTTGCTTCATCCTATCCCATTTTTGTTGCTTACGCTCCCCAGCACCAGAATCATCATAATGGTTTTACTCAAGTACAAAGTCGACCCAGCCGATATACAGGCTAAGATCAACGTTGCTTTGTCTATATCTCCAACAATTTCCCTGGGCGACCCCGCAGCAGAGCTTCATTTAACGCTAAAACTCTCCCTTGACTCCTCCATCAAAGTGGAAAAGCCCATCACATTTATGGTCGAGAAAACCGTTTTTGAGGTTTATGACGAGAAGGAAGGCGGCATGGACATCTTTTCGCGCCGTGCCTTTGGTGGCTTTCGAAGTACTACACAGGACGCTGCTAAAAACATTTCTCTGGGGCACTTCAAAGTGAATAGTAGACCTAAAAGCGATAGTTTGGACTTGAAAGAGCGAGGTCATCGGTTTATTACAGTCCCCGAAGACGGGTCAATAGTCACAGTGACACACAAGTTGAATTGGGAACGCATTTTCAAGTATGAAGAGAAACGTGCTAAAGGCGACCTGGTTCCCGGGGAGAGTTTCGAGATCGCAATTCAAAAGGATTATCTCGGAACCATGTGGTGGTGCTGGGGTGATTTGGAGACAGACCTGAAGGACAAGAAGCTGCACATTTGGCATGCTGGTCCGTTTGCAGGAGAGAAGCCCGATGATGATTTTGTACAGAAGGGGAACTGGGTACTTGGTGAAGAGCCAATGCTTCTCGACTGGCAAGATGTTACGAAGGACGGATGTGCAACATTTAAGGTTACTGAATAATATCACAAGTCTTTCCAGACTTTCTTCGCTGTCTTGGTAGGCCATGTCTCCTTTTTGCAGAATATCATTTTTCCAACTTGCTGTTTCCGCAATCGCAACCTCAACTCTCCCATACATTATTTTGTATATGCGCAGATCATTACTAAAAATCAAATAGTTGTGCGAGAAATAGTCTAGAAATAGATAACGGCGTAGCGATTACCACAAAGCCTGTTAGGGAGTATGTAAGGGTGTTAACGGCTATGACTATTCCTATCATATAACTACAACAGCACTCTACCTGGCGTCTTTTGTCCGTAAAATGTGACATAAGGCTCTCCAATGACCTACACTTCCTCTAAGTCTGATGCCTTTGCAGCTATTAGACCTAGTTTCCTTAACTTAGTTATTTCATCCGCTTTACTAAGTCGCTTGGTCGCAAGCACTACACCTTCCCATAGTTGGCTAGGTGCTCAGGGCACTTCGACCCTTGACTCCACTCCAAGCGAAATCAAGACCAGTTACGCATACCAGTCTCTTGGGATGGCCGTTTTACATTGTCTTCCACCATCCCGAAGACGAGATGGTTTATCGGGCAGTCATGAAGGTATTCGGCGTACTATCCTAGTGGCATCCTAATGGCTCCCTACCGGAGCTTGGTTTGTGCGAACTTCTTGAATTAGCCTTGATCGTTGGTGTGTTGCTTGTAATTCATGCCTTTCTCGCTCCAATCTTGACTACTTATTTCGCACATTCCTGTACATAGACTGTGACGATATACGGATGTGGTAAAGGGTGATAAAGGAATAGATCGTAACGAGTTCGTACCGCTTGACGTTTTCGGACTCCCAACGGCGTAAGATAGCCTAGATGCAAGACAGGCAGCAGTGATAGTAAATGAACTGCTCCCCGGAATGCCAATGTTAAAGTCGAGTCGCTTCAGGGTTAGAAGCGTTAGAATAGAAAGTAAGAATATTGGTAGTACCAGTAATGCCAAATGCACAACAGTATAAAAATGAAACAAAACCCGCTCCGTCGGCAAGAAGACTTGGATCATAATAGGCGAAGGAGCGCCTATACCCTGGATCATAGTATCCCTGAGATAACGTTAGGTTGATACATCATGCCAAGAATTCAGACACGGATTTTGATAAAACGCATGTCGTGTCGGAGACTCACCCCTTAATAGACGTACACAAGGCATGCATCACCACAGAATGATAGAGAGAGGGAGGAGACTTAGAACTGGCTAACTTATGTCACAATTTACACTCGCACCCTAGAATTGGTTTTGCTGCCTGTTACCACGCAATATGCCCAGAGGGCCGTAACAATGGAGGCATTTCGCCCGTCTCATGTGGATCTTCTCCCAAATATGACATCGGGAACCCGATGTCGAAGTCTGCATGGGCTTCCAGTTCCTTAATCTCTTGCCTTGTCAAGCAAATCTTTAATGCCTCAATGTTCTCCATTAGATGCTTGATTTTACTCCCACCCACAATCGGGAAGACATTCCTAGTCTTATGCGTAACATATGCAAGGGCAAT